TAATAATAATAATAATAATAATAATAATAATAATAATAATAATAATAATAATAATAATAATAATAATAATAATAATCGTATTTATTTAATATTTATTTAAAGCTTTGGAATGATGCTCTGGGAACTTGGGTTTGAAAAATATCCGTACATTGATAGATTCAATGACAAACAACTTGATGAAATAAAAAATTACGTAGCAAGTGGTCGAAGAGAAAAAATTGTTTTTGGTAAAGCAAAGGATAAAAATGAGAAAGAAATTCAGCAAAAATTGAAAGAAATTATCGAATCCGGTATATATATATATATATGCGTATAGTTTTGTAACACCGTATTTCATTTAATATTCTGAATAACTAATGTAGTTAAATCCTATATATGTTATCTTTTAAGCTTGGCATCATGATCCAGACCTACGGCCAAATTTAGGAGAGTTACTTATACGAATAGAAGAACTGTCCGAAAAACACACTGAACCTGGCGCTTTACCAAAGATATATCCAGACAAACAACTAGACCTAGATGGAACAAGATACTCTAATGATTTTGAAGATGACTTTGAAGGTTTCACACTTAATGATCATCTCGATATAAAGACAATCATGCCTTTTGAGGAAGGGTTAAAAATTCATCAGCAAATAAGAAAAAATGAATCTAGTGAAAAAGTAAATGAAAAAAGGAGGCAAGCATGGGAATGTTTTTCAGAAAATGCAACGATGGGAAATTCGATTGCAAAGTACTGGAAAGGATACTATTTATGGGAAGGTTACCACGTTGCAAAAAATCGAGAAGAAGCGGTTCGGCTTTTTAAAGAAGCGGCAGATGATGGTATCTCTGGGGCACAATTACGTTACGCATTTTCCATTATCTCAAAGAAAGAAAAAATCACACCAGCTGAAATGAAAGAGTTTATTACGTATTTAACGATGGCTGCTGATAAAGGAAATCATGTAGCATTATATAACTTAGGAGATTTATATTTAAATGGGAAGTTTCAAGTTGAAAAGGATCGTGAACTTGGACTAGATAAGTTAAAATTAGCCGCAATTTATGGAAATGATGCGGCAAAAAAATTATTGGAACAATATGAAGCACAATAATTACAATAATTATATGTGTGGTGTAAAATTTTGTTGTAAGAAAAATTTTAATCGATAAAATTTTATTTATTTTAAAAATAATAATAATTAAAGTGACTATTTTAATATTTAAATAAGATTCTTAAACTGCTAACATAAATAATGGAAATACTCCGATAAAATTTCTTATAGGGCTATTTTCATACGCATGAAGCGTTCATTGATAATTTCTACTTAAAGGTTGCTTCGTGGAAATTATTGTTTGATCCTTAAATTTTTCATCACCGATGATAACTAACCTTGGTTTCATTATAGTCTCTTTTAACTTTATTATGGATAACGCTTCAGAATAAAATATACTAAAAAGTTCCGTTTATTGCAACATTTTGTCATAAATGTTGAATAGTACTATCTGATCCATCGTAATTAAATTTCATTTATAGTTAGTGGCAATCTTTTAAGCATTCTAATTATTATTTAATCATTCTTTT